GGCTGCATGGTAGATCATGGCTCGTTTTTGCAATTCCGTCAAATTAAAAAAAAAACTTTAAACCAAGTCCACAGCCACCAACGTCAGTGATCACATACCTAGCTGCCCATCTAGTTATTCACCCAGATGCCTCGCTAGGTTGAGACTAAATTTTTCGCCTAGCCACCGTCCGTCATACCGAACTTCGTACCAATATTTCGTTGCCCGTTAGGTACGGAACCAATAAAACATACATACTAGTGAGCAAACAGAAATATCACAAATTAATTCCACAATGTCAACGCGATAGTGAAAATAATAAATGATATGTCAAGATCTTATCTTTAGTAAGATAAACATTAAAGTTAAGATAAAAAAGATAAAAGATTCATTTGAGTCTTATGTATAGAGCAAACAAAATAGATTTATTATAGGTACCTAACTTCGCCGTGGTAAAAATCGTCAGTAAAATTAACGAAAACAGCCTCCAGTAACCTCCACAATGAACAAAGAATCTACACAGACCTTTCATGTAGGTACCTAGTCTAAGTAATTTGTGGTTGAAAACTACCAACTGTCTGCCTAAATCACACGAAATGAATTTTGAAATAAACTCTCATTATTGAATACCTAATGTTAAAATAAAAGCGTGAATGGCATACGTAAAAGTTGAAAAGGTTATAACTTCTCCTTGATGGAACTAACTATATGGAAAAAGGGAAAATATGGATAATGGAATATTAAAAAAGTTGTTTCATAAAGTTGTATAACGTGATAAATGATAGGAAGGTAAAGGAAATAATTGAATCGTCAGAAAAGAACGGAAAATGATATATTTAACACCTCAATCATACGTGAAAACTCCTTTGTTAATGTTTAAGTAATCACAAAAGGCTATGTATATATATATATGATTTCATTTCTCGCCCCCATTTTTAAAGAAAAAGATACCCTTATAATATTGTATTCAACCTATTCGTTGTGCGAAAAAAATTACATATTTTGTACATGTTCAGTTAATTCGGGGCTCACCTGTTTAACTATGAGTCTCGCCACCCTCGGGCTGGCAAAAGTCACAAAACCGTAGCACTTGGACACACCAGCCCTGTCGTATATCACCCTGGCAGCTGTCACAGTTGCAAATCCAGAGAAGAACTTCCACAGGTCCTCGTCAGTCGTGGTCAGAGAGAAACCTCCTACGAATATCCTGTTGTGTATGACTGTTCCAAACTTTGGGGCGTCCGTTGGTGGTAGACTGTCATCTGTGTCTTCCTCTGGAGAGTTCAACAAAGCCTTTAACTTCTCATGAGGATCAGATATCTTCTTACTGTTCGCTGCACTCTCCTCCACTATGTGAGCGCAACTAGCCGACTCGCTCCTAATGTATTTCTTCACGGCGGTTTCCATCCTTTAGTTTTAGTTAGTTTAATATTTAGTTTTCTACAACATGTTCCCTTGTTTACTAAACTAAAACCACTAGCTAACTAAACGGACACTAATGTTCGGGCGAAAAACAACACGGCGACTGACCCGACGTGGTTTTATCGATTTCCAGGCTACACCTAACTACGGGAATATATCGCGAGTTGGGTGGTTGCGCCGTGCTGTCTTCAAGCGGCATGCACGCGCGATTTTTCGACACTTTTCGTCGCTTTAATGTTGAGATAAGATTGTGTGTACGCGTGTAGATTTAAGTGATACGCGCCGAAAATAGAGCTTGAGCTATTGTCAAACTCTATTTTTACTGGGCCAGGAAACTAGGTCATGCGTTGACAACGGCCGATTTCCTAATGGTTCTTGTCTGTGTATAGTACTGTTGGGAGCGCAGAGATGGCGCCAGTATCGACGCTTGTTTTGTAAACAGTTTGGTCTGAGTTGATTTGATTTTAAGTTCATTTGTTAATAAAACTTTGAAAAAGATAAGATAAAAAAGTGTACCTACTTTCTTAACACGTTATTGAAATATAGTATTGCATATAATTGACAAAAGAAAGTGTTCGCTTTCTTTATGTTTGTTTGCCTTTCACAATAACCTGTAGGTTTTTGCAGAGGATTGGGCCCAATGCCCCTCCCTATGTCATTATTGTCCAAAATAATTCATTTGGCTTTAATACACACACTTCCTTAAGCCTCATGGGCCATTGTGAAGAGGGGCCATAAGATCTCATAGGCGCCGTAAACTTTATTAAATGCATCCATATAATGATTGTTTTTTTAACAATCATTTAACTTAACGTACTTTCTGAAGCACGGAATCGAGATTATAAATTTTGGTCAGCCATCCTTTATCTGGCCATTCCGAAAATTGCGAAAGTTCCGCAGTCGCACTCTGAATACTCTAATCACTGCGCCATTAAGCTCGTCAACTTTCTTAGGAATGTAGCTAAGATACCACTAGACTTACGGTCAAATTTCAATAATCAACCTCTTGTGAAAAGCCGAAGTCCAAACAGAAAGAGTTTTTTTACGTAGCACAACAAATTATCCCATCGCACCTGATGATAAGTGCAAGTGAAATGCAGTCGCTGAGATAGATGATGGAGCAGAGAAAGTCTCCAGCCATCTTCACCTAGCCGGCCTTTTTTTTTAACGTCAGGAAAATGCGTTACGCTTACCTCACCGCCCTGGGAGTGCGGTTCGGTTATGTGGGGCTCCTCCCCTCCTTCTCTCGTTCACCCGTTCAGCCAGTCCGAGGGCTGGCTCAACGGCTGCTCAAGAGAAAGGGGGCCCTACCCACTAAAAACCTGACGATGCTCCTCACCTCACCGATGGGCCGGGGCCTCCCCGGGTACGGGATCCACCATCAGGCGGCATGGTGTACATATAATTAAACTATGTACAAGTAACTATTTTTGTAGTATAGTAACAACTAAGCGCAATTTCTAATGTAATTCTTTTCAAATAAAAACAGAATGAGAGCTCTTATTAAAGATTTTTTATGCTTAATTAAGTGGACATTGGTGTCGATTCTGGCATGATTCTCTAAATCTAAACTTAAATTTGACAACAGTGTATCCTTGTCATTCTCTATACAGAATGAAAAGGAGGGGCTAATGTTAAATTAAGTTTTTAATTTAGAGAATCATGCCAGAATCGTCACCATTGTAGTTGGTGTCACAATGACTAATGTATTTATACTAAAAATCTAAAAGTAACAGCTATTGTGAGACTGTGTTTTGTCCTAAATAAATAAAAAGTTATAACGCTAAATAGAACGGATTTCAGTACGAAAACTTCGTCACGCATGTGTGGGATAACCATTACAGTGGTTCTCTAAACTTTAAACTAAATTTAACATCAGTCTCTCCTTTTCATTCTGTATAGAGAATGACAAGGATACACAGTTGTCAAATTTAAGTTTAGATTCAGAGAATCGTGTCAGAATCGATACCAGTAGCTTATTCTTACATGGTATGATAGTAGTAAAAAAATACCAAATATCCTGAAGTGTTAGAAACCAGGCCACACTGAACAGATTCTTTTTTTATTGAATGTTACCCGATTCCTAGAGGAAGCGTCGACTATTCATTATTTAATTTTGTAGGTAGAATATGACCACGGGACTGGGTTCCCCTAGTCAGCAGGTCAAGATCTGATGATGGGATCGACTTGGTAAGTTATCAGCACGTCTAATAAAATTTAGATATTTTGTCATAATTTTTACTTTCAGCTCTTTCTAACGGCTGTTAGATTTTTGTTTTTTTATATTATTCATTTATTTAAGAAACACAGACAGCGTATTGAACAAAATTTTCTTAGGATCTATTTTTCCATAACTGTAAATCTAGTAAGTACATACACAATAAACAGGTTTCCGCAACACTTCTAACAATATATTGTTATTATATAATATATAATTTATTGTCATAATTATAAATCTGTAGGAATGTTTACAACACAATATTCCACTCCATTACTAACTAGACAGGTTAGTAATTCACAATGCTTTTATAGTGAAGTGGAGTTGATATTGAATTACTTACCAGAAAAACTCTTCAATGACTAACGACCCTGAACCTTGAAAGGCATGGCTGAAATCCATTGAATTCCATTCAAATATTAAGTATTTTCCGACCAAATTTTTTGAGTAGTGAGCATTCCTGTTAACGTAAGGTATATAACTTCCTTGGTGGGATTTGCCTTCTTTAACAGATGTTCTACATCAAAAAATATATCAATGGGACTGGCATTATCACAACTTTAGATCCTTTGCGGCATTTTTAATTTGATTCAGAGTATTTTTTTCAGCAATTATTATTAGCTCCGAAAAACAGTTTGCCGTCGCTGTAAAATGCAGTATCACTTTCAATTTCGATAATTTAAATTGTATCAGGTTTTATTACGAAAATTGTAATATATCGGCTATTAAGATCTGTAATACTCACATTTTGAGGTTTAAAAATTACAGTACTTAACTAATGTTTAAATTCGAACCATCGAACTCGGAAGTGAGATTTGATAATACAGAATCGTCCTACTGTTTCTTAATATTATACTGCAGAGATGAAGTGAACGTAATACTCGACAAAATAAAGAAAAGAAGACACAGCTTAATTGCATATTGTATTCTATAAAAAACCGGGCCAGACAAATGATTCATAGTTCTACCTGAGAACAATAAACACTATTCATAGGTATAGGTAGCGGCAAACTTCTTGAGCAAAACTAAAGACAAAAGGACTTAAGCAGTAGACGTTTTTCTGTGTAAAATTGCTACTGCGCAGGTTTCCTTATCTATTGTCAGTGCTCAAGAAAGAAGTTTGCCGGAGTGTATACCTACCATGTCTGGAACATTACATTATAATACTATAAAGAATGAATAAGTGAGACTGCAGTAGTTTTAAGTTTACAGAATCACGTCTTATGAATAACTTAGTATGAATAAAAAAAATTAAGTATAATGGTATAACTTACATTTGTTTATAGAATGATTTATTTTCAAGATTCCTATTTTTTACTACTACATAGTACGAATCGAAAATAAAAGGTATGGTATCACACACATACCAAATGACAAATACCTTGATTTCAGCTGTCACTGTCAACGTCAACTTCAAAACATACTTGTGCTTGCTTCCGACGAACCAACCAAACCAAAGCAAAGGAGAAAAGGGAATGTAAATAATATACATAGCTTGGATTCTTGAACGCATCAAAGGTCGTGTTGTTGTATTTTTTCTTTTCCTACCCTTGTGCTAATTTTTGGAAACGGTTGAATTACAAAGTGTTCCTCACGAAAACAATGAAATAATCAACAAAAACAAGACTGGCTAAGTTGTTGTGAATAAATTCGTCATAAAAAGTGTTTTCAAATTTATGGAAGTGATAATGTTACTGTAAACTAGATTGCAAGGAATCTTTTTTGTGCTGGTAAGTAAGTTTTATTTGTTATCAAGAAGTAATTATGTTTTTGCAAGTGCAATGCGTTTGCTCCATTTTTTTTCTTTCTACCTCATAGTTGTTTGTTATAGAAACTTGTTGCGAATATTAGTTATTGCACCGGTAAGTAGTTACCTCGTTTGTGTGTTATGCATTGTGGACGCAAATAGAGTAGGGGGACAGGTTTAGCAGCATGCATAGTCACGGTGTGGCTCACAGAAGTCACCTGCTAACTTGTGAATAGTAGAGTAAAAAAAACAGATGTTACTTTATCAAAGGAATAGATAAAATAAAATAAAAAAAAGCCTTTATTAAAGCTACCATTTTACAAAATATATTTGATAATTTGTTTTCTTTTTTTAGTGGTAAACATAGCGTGTCAGTGACACAAGGCCTCCCCTAGCCTCTAAGGAATAGATACTTAATTAAATTTATTAATCTATGTTGATGCCTAAAAACACACTGAATTTACAACAGGACACATTGTTATATACCTCTACTACAAACAACCTTCAACTCGTAACAAAACCTCTATCAAAATGATATTTGCATACCATTTTCTGCTCAATTATTACCTGTGTAGTCTACATTCTTAGATTCGAAATTGCAAAAAATTAATGTGTATTTAGATTTGTCATTTTTTTATAGATAGGTCTGACAAATGACTCCACCCCACCTGATGTTAAGTGATGGTGAAGTTCAGACGTGAAGATAGCTGGTACAGCAGTTCTACCTGCCACACCAGCCATCCTCACCTTAGTTAATTGATGGAGTAGTGACGTTCAGAAGTGCTTGTAACAGCTTGACCCCTTAGCATGAGCACTGCAGTATGATATACAACTCCTTTTTATCACACTCTATTGTCAAATTACTATGGAGTTTGACAGTTAGAAGCGATAAAAAAGTGATCTAATGTAAATTGTAGTGCTCTTGCTACAGGGAATAAACTGAATAAACTATATTGAAGTTGAATATAAATGCTTGGAGTTTGGTTTTACCATTATTTCGCAAAAGAAATAGCAGTAAAACTGTACTTCCAGGGCCTAAGAGGTGATACTTGAATTTATTTTGTAGAAAGGGTAAAAAGACCGCTTTCTACAAAATAAATTCAATATAGATTATTATAGATTTTTTTTTCTGGTGCTTTGCCAGCCGCTGCTGCGGCACGCTCACTTTGCTCATTCAGCTCACGCTTTATGGTCACAACACTAACTTAACCTAACCTAGTGTGAAGTATTACCGCTTGGGCCCTGGAAGTACAGTTTAGCCGAAATAACTATAACACAGCTATCTCAGGCTGATGTACAGTTGATAGAATGTAAAATGAGCCTTTTTTTGCATATTAATGCTTTGCTTAAATGCCAAATTAAAAGAGGTTAATTCAATGAATTAAAATGGTTTTTCATGAATTTATTTATTCGTTTAATAATCTTTTAGCATTTAAATGGGTTATACAGGCATGAGCGAGGATAGTGTATCATCTCATATTAATATTATTAACATCATATTGATGTTACCATTGCTGGTGATGAAATTTTGAGTCATATCATTTTTAGGGAGAACAAGTAAATAGCTGACTAAGGGATCCAGTTTGTTTAAGTAGGTGTGTGCTACTGCAGCACCCCATGCACAAACCTCAACAATCTGTTATCGTATCGTCATCATAAAATTTTGTATGGAAGGGGCCAGTTAAGTCTTACATCCGGTAGGGGGCACTGCTTAGTTTTCATAGAAACTTTGACAATGCGATAGGATTATGTTGCTGTCATAGTTTGTACTTGGGCCTCAGGTGTAGCAAAGGAGCTCAAAATAATAATTTTTTCTTCTATTGTTACTTCCATACTTATCACATAGTGAAATAAAAATAGCCTTGATTCTTTGACTAGGTACAAAGTTTAACTTTTTTGAATATAACTCTTATTGGCCAACATCGGCACCTGTACTGTCAGTGTTTGAAGACAAAGCTCTCCAGTTCGACCTATTCTGTCCTGTCCCTAGCTGTACTACAATGACACTTTGGTAGGTTGTCCTCCCATTGCTTCACTTATCTACACCTTCTTCGTTTTCCATCCATCAATGGGGGACCACTCCATGACAATATCTTTTGTCCACATTTACCCATGGTGGACCTGAACATGCTTACTTCATTTCCACTTTAGTGTGTTCTCGCTCTAAGAGTTACATCAATTGCTTTCGTTCTTTTCCTTATTTTGTGTTCATAACATCACAATACTTAATAGCATTCGATTTTGATATCAACTTAATATAGAACTGTTATATTATTTTGAGATTATAAAATCAATAACCATGTTATCCTTCTAAAAATATTGTTAATTACTTATCGATAAACAATACTTAATATTAATTTTATTATACTCATTCATTACAAACAATGTTGCAGAAGTGACAATAAGCAATCATAACAATGAGTGGCACAAATAAAAAGTTTGTGCAAACAAACAAAACATAAACAGCCAAGATCTTAAGTAATTCTCAATCGGCAATGAAAAAAGAAATTATGAATCCAGAACCTGCCATTTTACAGTCTCCTAAAAATATACTAGTTAACTAAATGAAAGTATTGGTATTGCACTTGTACAGAAATCATGCTTAGTTCAATATTTAAGTAAGGTTAGTCAACAAATTACTACAATCAAATTAAAACAATTATCATTTGTTTACTCATGACTAATCACTTTAATTATGTTTAACTTATTATATTTTATAAGACCATTTTTCTTATCTTCTTAAAAAAATATATTAATTTTTTAATTGCAAAGTACTTTCTTTATGACGACCTCCGTGGCCGAGTGGTTTGTACGCCGGGTTTCATGGTGTCGCCGACTCCAGAGGTCCCGTGTTCGAATCCCGATGGGGGCAGATGTTTGTGTTATGAATACGTGCATTTGTACTCCAGTCATGGATGTTTAATATGTATTTCTATTTAAATATACTTATGTGTACAGTATATGTATTCTATCCGTTACCCTAGTATCCCATAACACAAGCCTTATAGTGCTTACTTTGGGGCTAGGCTAATTGGTGTGTGTGTTGGAAATATTTATTTATTTATAACTTAAGAGTGGTATGGTCGCCACCAGAAGGGCCATAAGCTTGTTTCCCACCCATTTATAATTAAAAAAAAATGTTAAAGGGTGGCAAAAGGCGTATTGCCACCATAATCTGTTACCACTTGTGGTATCAAATTATACCTAGTGCAATGCCGTGTGGCCATGGTTTTCTAAAAGCCCTGGAAACCCTAATCACCGTCAAAAACACAACACTATCAAATATCATTTATGTTATTTCACTCTTGTTTTCTGTAAGACAAAAGTTTATTTGTCGGACTGGCTTTTCTATTTCAATTTCAGCAGAAAATCAATCTTCTTAAATGGAGATAATTTATAGAAAGTTGTTATTGGTAGTTAAAGGTTTTGTCTTTTGCTAGAGTGACCCATTTCTGCCTGTGTCATCCATCATCTTATCAAAATTCCATTAATTATACTGTAAAGATAAGGAAATATTTTTCTCATCACAAGGTCAGTCATTCTTTGTTGCACTAGTATAACTCAAAACTGTTTTTTTTGTTTCCTCCCAGGCGGGTGTGAAATCCTCATGGATACCCTACAGCCGGCTGTAGCGTTATGTCAGATTCTTACTGACTAAAACACACCCGTGGGGGGATGCCTATGGCCTTAGGTCCCTTACAAGCTTCATCTGATGCGATCAACCCCTGAGAAGGAGATGATGCAGAGAAGTGGTTCTGATTGTTGCTTATTTTATACTAGCAAACCAGTGAACCAAATGTTCACCAAAAAAAAAAAAAATTTAATTAATTGAGAACTTCGGAGATTTTGTGTGGTTTCGTTATAAATTCGCGATTTCTCGAAAACCGGAAGTGCTACGTTACTCAAATCCGGTTTGTAGTCTTATCAGACTATTCTTAACTTATAACTTAAACATTCTCTTTATCTATCTCTTACGGTTTGGCCGCTGAAACAGCACCACAGACAGACGGACGGACGGACGGACAGACTTGTCTAATAGATAAGAGATTAAACGCGTCAGGGATAGCTGCGCATGGGTACGACTGGAGAGCCAATCGGCGCAACGCACGCCCGCCCGCGCACCTCGTTTCCCCCTCAGACATCTTAATTTTTACTTCTGCGCAATAACGGTCAGCTCTAGAGTTTCGTGCCGCGACTTCTATGCTGAGGTAGATACAGGCCTGTGCGCGGACTGTCGGCAACGGTTACCGTTACCACACCCGCACTCCCGGCGTGCATTGGGGGGACTGCAGTGCCGGGTGATCGGTGCAGGAGTATTGTCTGGTTTTTACTGGCCCTGTTCAGGCCAGGTTCGGCTGGGGAGTCTCAGATACCTTCTTCTCGCTCCGCCAGTGGTTGAAGGATGTGTTAGGCATTTCCCAGACATTAAAAGAAGGTAGAAACAGGCCTTTCCTGGTACTGGTACCAGTGGTTTATCGTGTCTTCAGAGGCGTCTCTAGCCCTTGAAGCGATCATTAACCTAGCGCCTTCTTGTCAGTGAGAAATGTAATGGTGGAGAATGATGCTCGGCGCACCATAGGTAAAGTCTCTGCGTGTCTTTGGTCACCTACCGATCACACCTGGGGTTGCCAGATGCTGGCTTATCAGTTCCGGGACATTTGCCCCCCCCCCCCTCTTCCTGAAAAATAAAGCATGAATTAAAATACCAAGCAGGCCAGCGGTGTTATTCGTTATTAGTTTATTTTGTTACGCAACTAGCACATTATCGGAATCCGGGAGAATATGGTATAATTACTGGACACCGGACAAGACGCAAAATTCGGGGACAGTCCCGGATTGGCCGGCCATCTGGCAAGTCTTATTTATTTCATATCCTTTGCAGGAATGCGTCGTTATTCCGAAGACGCATTCCTGCAAAGGATGCGAATCGTCAATAAATAAATCAAATCAGTACATCTAACCCGTTTAAACTTGTTTTATATA